TGGGGGGGTGAGGGGAGCGGTCCGGGCAAGGGGTGGCGCTTCAGGTGTTTCGTGCAGCCGCGAACAGCTGCAGCGAGATTATTAAAAAATAAAAAATAAAAAGTGGAGCGCGACAATTCACCTCCGCGCGTCTTTGGTGGAATACGGAAATACGACACGCGATACGGCGACTTTTTTTATCCTCCCGATTCAGTGATACGCGTCGGGAGTGTTTGCGGGAGGGGGGGAGGGGGAGAGAGGGTGGGCGTGAGTGAGTGGATGCGTGCAGGACACTCGGCGGGCGGGGGAGCATCACGAGGTGGCGCTGGAGCAGTTTGTTGGCCTCTGGACGGGCGGGTACAGGGCGTTCCTCCTTCCCGGGAGGGGGGCCTTCGAATGATTGTTTTTTTTCTTCTTTTTTAGTGTTTAGGAAATAAAAAAAACTGTTTAGGAAATAAAAAACTGTTCGCCTTGGAATGACAGCTTGTTAGGAGACAGGAATTTGATCGTCGAGTGGACTTCGATGGTCGTCGTTAGGGAAAAAAAATAAGACATGTAAAATCGAATTTTCTTCTGACCTCCATTTATTTTTTCTTTCTTTTCTCCTTTGCAGCCTTGAAGAGACGCGGGAGGAGCTGGAGGAATTCCAGAGCGGCAGCCGAGAGCTTGAGGCGGAGCTGGAGGCTCAGCTGGAACAGACGGAGAGTCGGTGCTCCGAGTACCAGTCACAGCTGAATCGCCTGGCCATCGAGAACGATTCCCTCAAGGTACAGTCACGCCCCGTTGCCAGTTCGGAGGAGGCGGCTTTGTGCGCCTCTTCTGCGGTGAGGGAGGGGAGGGCAGGGGAGGTGAGGGAAGGGAAGGGCAGGGCAAGGAAGGCGAGGGGAGGGCAGGGAAGGGAAGGGGAAGGGAAGGCGAGGGGAGGGCAGGGAAGGTGAGGGGAGGGGAGGGCAGAGAAGGGAAGGTGAGGGGAGGGCAGGGAAGGGGAGGGAAGGTAATGCAGCTGCAGTGATTCGCCTTTGCATTGGTGCCCGCGGGTTAGCCTCTCCGGGGGTAAGAGATAGGGGACAGGGAGAGGCTAGATCAAACGAATGCCTTTGGAGGCTTTTGGAGGCTTTTGGGCTGATACGTCATTTTGCGCTGTCGATCCATACTTCGGGGGCTCCTGGGTGTTCACAGGAGGGGCCAGGGTACGGTGAACGCCCGGCGAGAGGTTCAACACACCTTTGCAGGATGACTTAGGATACAGATTTGCTGTTAGACGCGCACGCATAGGATGTTTGTAAGTTGATGAATAGACTCTCTCTCTCTCTCTTCTCTCTTTCTCTGTCAGTCTCTCTCTCTCT